TGTTCCATATAATATATATATATACATAATTACACTATGTTGTCACCTAGAGCATCACTAAGTTACAGCATTATTGTCCATATTCCATATATGTTCCATATAATATATATATATATATACACATAATTACACTATGTTGTCACCTAGAGCATCACTAAGTTACAGCATTATTGTCCATATTCCATATATGTTACATATAATATATATACACATAATTAAACTATGTTGTCACCTAGGGCATCACTAAGTTACAACATTATTGTCCATATTCCATATATGTTCTATATAATATATATACACATAATTAAACTATGTTGTCACCTAGAGCATCACTAAGTTACAACATTATTGTCCATATTCCAGAGAAAGAAAAAGTAATAAATATTTATACAAATATTCATACTGAGCTTGGTTTAGAGGCTGTTTCTTATGGGATTCAAAGGCGCCAAGGATTATTACACATAAGATCCAACTAAGGTTTCATATAACAAGGAATAGAAATTATACTACAAATATGTTTTTTCTGTTCCATCTATAAGAATTATCTTTAAATTACAATGAAACAGTAAATGGAAGGAAACTTCACCAACTTGTGCTATGTAGATGATGAGATATTTGGAAGAACGATTACACGAAACCATAAGGACAAGTTTCGGAAACGAAAATAGATAAAACAAAACTGGAAGACGAATATATTTGAATGTTTTGTTTTTATTCGCAGCTTATCAATAAACGACCTACGTTTTATAATATATTAAATTGTATACACAACTCCATAAAATTCACAATAAAAGGAGCGTCAGTGAACTACTATTTATTAATATACTATTAAAGAAACCCGCTAGAAAGATCTATACAGACACCTAATATAAAACACTAATATTCGTCAGAACTTGGGATTTTGTTAATATACTATTAAAGAAACCCGCTAGAAAGATCTATACAGATACCTAATATCAAACACTAGTATTCGTCAGAACTTGGGATTTTGTTAATATACTATTAAAGAAACCCGCTAGAAAGATCTATACAGACACCTAATATAAAACACTAATATTCGTCAGAACTTGGGTTTTTGTTAATATACTATTAAAGAAACCCGCTACAAAGATTTATACAGACACCTAATATAAAACACTAATATTCGTCAGAACTTGGGTTTTTGTTAATATACTATTAAAAAAACCCGCTACAAAGATTTATACAGACACCCGATATAAAACATTAATATTCGTCAGAACTTGGGTTTTGTTAACATACTATTATTTTTATTCATGTCACCGATATATACAGATTGGCACAGGAATTTATAAACGTGTTTCAGATGATGAGATCAAGTAAAAAAAATGACTAGAACAAATCTAAATTAATTAAACTAAATCAACACTGTCCTACGAAATTAAAAACCACCGGTGTTACTTAAGTCAAGAAAGTTCAATGACCAGAATTGTAGAATAAAAAAAAACAGATATGGAAAGTGAACAAAGGAAGACCACTCTTTGTTTTACTACACATAATCCAAATAACGTCAACATATTCAATGTAATCCAAAGGAATATTGGAATATTAAAACAAAGTCAAAATCTGAAGGATTTAATTATAACCAAGAGAAAAAAAATATATATATATAAAATGAGATTTTTTTCCTATTAGAACTTGAATCGACTAACTATTTGGATAATTTCCAGAAGACCTTCCAGGTTTTGCTGGCTTCTATACGAGACTGACTGAATGTTTTATCAGTTAGGAATGTTAGGTAAATGTAGGAAGTTTCTTTTTTCTCCCGTGTTCACTCGAGTGAATAACGTACCAGACTTTCATCAAACGAACACATTATTGTATCGTAGCCTCAACCACCACAGAAATAGGACTTCCATGGAGATGGCATCAGATTATCAGCAGAAACGTCTGATAGAAACTAGTTAGCGAGTAATATATAGTTACATAAAAAAATAGTTACTAACGAATAATTAGAATTACATTATTGTAACCATGACGACGGAAATTTAAACGAAAAAAGAAAAAAACTTAGATATTATAAGTAGCGTTTAAACCACTACTGTGTATGGTCTGATGAACACTAGTATTACATGGAAGGCCTCATAGGCACTGGATATAGCAAATATATATTGGTCAACTTATAGATATACATTCTTCGTCACATTTTCACTCATAAATGCTTATAGTTAAGAGTACGTAGAGGTGTTCAAAAGCTGCAACGTTTAGTGTTTTAAAGCTGCAGCGTTTAGTGTTTTAAAGCTGCAACGTCTATCTTCTATAACTTCTACCATTCATCACCTAATCAATTTGAAAGAAAATAATAGATCAAATAAGAACATATCTTTTGAAGTTGGCTCTCCAGTCCCCATAAAGTCCCCTAGTAATACCAATATCATAATTAAGCCTAAGACGTCTAGATTAAAAATGATTACTATTAGAAGATTTACATAGGTAATTTATCTTTACAGTTACAAAAAAAACAAAAAAACGTGGATACAAAACACATCCAACCTAATTCTAAGAAACGGGATCAACTCTTGAAGTTTGCACTCTGTTAAATAAATAGTTAATTCAAATATAAATACTTTGTTCGTCACCAGGAGATAATTAAGGATGGGGGTTTTAGTTTTAAAAATCTAGTAATTTTGTTAGCAATTTTTGGCACAAAAGGGAATGAAACAAATTTGTTGTGTTATGTGTTATCGATAGGTGAAAGGTCACTGTTACAAGCCTTATCTATGATATTGGGGTTTCAGCCTCTAGATAGTGATATGTTCTTTAAATAGTTCAATTCAACAAGTAAGTTTTCTTTGTGGGTGTAAAGTTGTAGAGCACGATTTTCGCAGGTTAAACAGGAGGATATTTCCTGTGATATGTGGAAGTTCGATGTTATATGTACTGGCATGGTGACTGAATAGGGTTTCCTGTATATACTAGTGATAACTTTGTTATTTTCTCTTTTTTTTTTTTTCATTGATGTCTAAAAAAAAATGGGGAGACAAGTGTTGGATTCTATGTCATGTGTGAAAATTATGACATTGGGTCTTAATGTGTTTAAGAATTCAATGAAATTGAGAAGCATATCTTCCCATGTCGCCGTATACTGAAGATATCGTCTACGTATTTTAACCAGATTTCTGGTTTCTTCTGATTTTGTGGGCTTAAGAACACTTATGTTCTTTAAGTAACTGATTTTACTTTTTTCCGCATGTGAAGATTGCAAATAGAGATTAGGTCTGATACACAGCGTATTCCTATTGCTTTATCCGCCCGACCAACCAACCACTCACCCACACACTTGTGAAAAAAACCTCGCTTCTGTTTCTACTTTTACAAAATTTTGGTCTAACGTTAGGATGCTTGACTCTCAGTCTGCGGGTAGCGGATCCTAGTTCTGTCACAGAACATGTTCGCCCTTTCAGTCAGTGAGGCGTTATAACGTAACAGTCAATCCCACTATTCGATTAGAGTAGCCCAAAAATTGGCGGTCCAAGGTGTTCACTAGCTATCTTCCCGCGAGGCTATTGTTTTGCCCTTGTCGTCTGATGAGTTGTTTTACATATATACCGTTTTTTCGGAATATAAGACGCACCCTTATTTTGAAGACAAAGTTTTGTGGGAAAAAAAAAGCTACAGTCGCATTTGAAAGCTTTTTATTGAACAAAAATTCAATTTGATACTTTAAAAATCAATGTATATTGTTCTAAACACAAAAGAGCTCAAAACATCAAAATAAGAAAATACCGTAAATAAAAAAAAGGTTTATTGTTATTTAGTTTGGTTCAAAACCTACAAAATCTTCATTGCTTTCATTGTAAGTTTTTTTTTTTATTATTTAGGGATCGTTATGAATAGTTATGTTTTAAACGAAAATAAATACTATTGTTATAAATAACACATTCAATTGAACTAA